GCAAACGCACTTTCTACCAAGGCTGCGCAAATCCCAATGGCACTGCGACATCACGAACGTCGTGTCGCCACACGGTCTGCCCACACACTAGAAGCAGTCATGCGAGCGTTTCGTACGAGACGTCCTCCAAAAGTCACGTGTCAAGTCTCCAAAACGAGACTTCCTCAAAAACTCACATGTCAAAGTCTGCAAAACGAGCGTCTCGTACGACACTTCCTCCAAAAGTCCAGCGGAAACACCCATCGGAGCACACACATCACGCAGCCCTGCCAAGCAGTTTCGCGAGTCCAGCCCCTCCAAACAACACCCGCTCACACGCCAATCCCAATGGGACAGCGACATTCACCTCTACCACAACTCACAACCTGACGATTCCCTGCGCCTGCCACGAATCTTTCCGCGTCCACACGTCTAACGCGCACAAAGTACTGTACCTGCCACGAAATGTCACCTCCGTCACACCTCGCAACCTCACGATTCCCTGTGCCACGAAAATCGCACTTCCGTGTGAGCTTCACCACCACACCACACGTTTGGAATGATTTCGACCCGTTTTGAGCACACTCCCATCCACCAAAATCGCCATTTCAGCTGAGACTTGTCACGAAGGCAGAGCTTCGATGCCACACCCTGAAACGCAAATCCCAATGGCACGGCCACATCCAACACCCCAAAAACACGACTCTCCAAACGCTAATCCCAATGTGACTGCGCAGCAAACTGCGGATCTCACAAAACGCTGCACCTGCGCAGTGAAATCATCCTCCACTCCACACTTCAACATCTTACATTTCCACACGATTCCTCGCTATTTCAAACGAATCTGACACGTCACGTTTCCATCCGAAACCCTCTCCAAAAGCTTCCCCCAATGCCAGCGCCTTAGCACCCTACTGCGAACACCTGCGGACGTTTGCGGACTTAGAAACCACGGGTCGCGAACAAGGCTCTACCCCCCACACCCCCAGAGTTAAACGAGAAGCCTTCGCTACGCATTCGGGAAAAATATCAATTGAGATTGCGTTGGGATGCTTTGGACGCATGAGATAGGCCAATCAAAACCAGTGAGTACGTTGTACTTAGTTGCATCACATCTGCAGCTAGCATATCTACCGTAGGTACTATAACAGACTAGCAGTTAGAATTCCAAAAAAACGTTTAAAACAGTTGAACATCAAAACAAACTTAAATCCCAGGATCCGGCAGCGATGTGCAGATAGAATTTGTGGTGCCTACAAGCAATGGCCTCCAACCTACTAGCGATGGCCTCCAACCTAATAGCAATGGCCTCAAACCTACTGTAATAGCAATGGCTTATACTTCTCCTATCAGTGTTCCTTTACAATAATTGATTATTCTTGAAAGGCGGTTATAGTAATGCCACACTGTCATTTGTTTCTGGGTTTTCCATTACAACTGAAGACTGGCAATACTGCCGACCCGATGCCCGGACTCCTGCACGTGGCTGAAGCTGGCCACATCACAAGGCTTCACTTGCAGTTCCAGGTCGAAGTCCTGCGACTTCAAATCAATCAGAACAAAAAAATAAGATAATGAAGGAGATGAACAAAGGACGTTTCAAAGGGGCCTCTTGTCATCTTTTGTTCAGTTCTTAATGAAAGACATCAACCAACTGACCGGCCAACTGACCAAGCAACCAAACGACGCACCAAAGACCTAAAGAACAAACAAGGGCATCAATAGAAAGACACATGCACAGAAGCAAGTTCGCAACCAACGTCAGAAAACACACGAACCAAGGACAAAACCATCAAATAGTGAAAGTGCCAAACTAGAGACCAAGCACATTGACAAATGAACTCCAACTTCAAATCAATCAATCCTTATGAGAACCAGCCACCGATGATACATTTGAAGACGAGTTCTGTCCTGCAACTTCTCCCACATGCTCTTGAGGTCATCACCTAGACAACGGGCCGGAGATAAAAGGAAACTCCCAGGTCAGCCCGGAGGATGATCATGTCACCCTGGTGTCCCAGTAGTTCAAACGTTCAAGAACCTCGTGCAATGATTGGAAGCTGGGGAGCTTGCACCGCTGTGAAGACTTGGGGTGGTTTGGAATTCCCCGCCTCCCCAAACCGTCAGCCCACCACTCCCCTCACCAGGCTCCGTCGATGTGGCCAGGAGACCCACCACGCCGCGGCGGCTGAGCAAGACCACCGACTTGGCGCCCTCTTCCGCCAACATCTGCGTGGTCACCTCGACACGAGCCCAAGTAACCATGAAGATGCTGGAGTGGGTTGCTGGGGTGAGTTGGGTACCTAGAGGAAATGGCATGGAAGGTGGTCCATCACAGGTTTCAAGGTTTTTATTTGGGAATTGAGCTGCACTGCTTGAGCCGTGCATGGTGCCCAGCGGACGTTCACGAAGCTGTCAGAGATATTTGGGAATTCAAATGCACAACAAAAAGGTGAGACGGAAGTCAGAAACTCGTCGAACTGGTTGATTATGTCTCCCTCATTCCCGGATGGACCCAGGCCAAAGGCTTCCCATTGTAACTCAGGGACATCTCAGCGATTCTCTTATAGACATGAGCAGTTGTTCTCCTTCTTTAGCCCGCTCACCCCCTCCCTACTTAATTAAGTAGGCACTCACTTAATTAAGTAAGGGACTTGTAAGCTACAAGGTACAGGACGCAGGATAGCTCACACTTCTTCGAGGAAGCTTCCCCGCCTGAGGGCGGGGGGGAGCTTCCTTGAAGAAGCCCTCGCACTAATGATACTGATTTGGTTTCTAGATTTGTTTTTGGAAACCTATATAATAGCGATGGCCTCCAACCTAATGAGCATTGATACTGGATAATCATTACCCCACCAATCCCGAAGGTTGCGGAACACCCTTGAGAGCCCTCAACACTGGTAGATTATATAGACCTCCCATGGCCCTCCGTGCTTTTGAAAAGGCCTCCTCCGCAACGCAACATGACCTCAACTTGGCAACTTTAATGTGTTTAAAATCTTAAACATCAAAGGAGTTGCGTGTGTGTTGAGCACTGGTCTCAAAAGGATCACACCAAATCATCGTGGTGCTGATTCCAAAGACAATCCATCGCCAAATCTTGGCACATCTCTTCTGAGAGGGTGTGATGGTGGTGAAGCAGAATTACCAGGCGTGCAAGCAAATTTGCAGGGTTCTCAGGGTTTGCAAGCTGCTTGCACACCCCAAACAGCTTCAGCCGTTCTGTTCCGGTTCCATCCCACACAGTCTCCTTTGCCACATCCACGCGGCCAGGCCGAGTGCGCCAACGCCACCACTGAGCACGTAGCGGCCATCCTCCTTTAGCTGCATGCGAGAGGGCTGAGTCAGCACCACCTGGCCATGCACGGCACGGTTTTGGACTTCCAGGATTGCTGAGAGGGTCAAGTCGAACAATTTAGACTTGGGACCCAAACTTGCCTAAAAGCCACTTGTTTAACACTATACCCTCGAAACATGAAAGCTCTTTCTTTCTATACTACTAATGATAGGAGTCTCCAAAAAGTCGGCACTTTTGACAAACACTTCCAAACGGCGAACACCTTGCCGATCTGCTGTGCACGCTGGAGGTATCGCATGGCATCGATGCCGGAGTTGAGGCCTTCATAGCCTGGCGGAATGCAATGCTTTGGTCTGTGCGTACTGTTGATGAAAGAAGTTCTGCACTAATTACTTGGGAGCAGAAAAGTGCTAGATGCATGGTCGCTCCAAAAGTGGGCCTGGCTTAA